GCAGCATCAAGACCTGGAGCACCTGGGGCTCCAGGTGTTCCTGCGTCACCGATAGGCCCTGGCATTCCTGGAGGTCCAGGAGGTCCTTGCGGGCAAGGCTTGCATGGAGGTGGAGTAATTGGTTCACAAGGCTGGACAGGTGGTCTTCCTGGGCTTCCAGGAAGTCCTGGAGCACCTGGTTTCCCTGGCCTTCCTGGCTTCCCGGGGGTTCCTGGTGGACCAGGTGGACCTGGGACGCAACACTCTTCACATCGATTGCTGACTTCCCCTGAGTGTATACCGGCAGATGCACTGACAGGCACACCATAACCAGCTTGACGTGAAGTACGATTTCTGCCCGGAAGGGTTTTCAGTTCGTGAACTTCTGCCCATATATCCCTTGCAGAACTCTAAAAACGAGATCTTTAAATAATACTAACGTTAATGTTGGCTTTTTTTCTCAGCGTTGTTATATGAGTAAGATACAGCCAATAGAAGATAACCTTTCTGGCAGTTGAAAAGTAATGTTTTTATGTGCGAAATAGAAATATTACAAAATAGCTAAAATAACAAGAATTGAACTTTTAAATGCTGCTGGTAGCGTTCACAAGTTGTAAAATCCTCTTAATTTTTTCTCATTAAACACAAAGAAATGTAGTATTCGTTTGAATCATTCAAAATAGTATAATTATAAGCGTAAAGAGAGAACCTGGCTACACTGTTTTTATAATGTTGCTGAGACCGCAGAAAACAGTTGGTAAATGACCTATGGAAACGGCGGATAACAATTAAAAAAAAATCTGATAGCTTACCTTACAAAACGCAATTTCGTTGTTCATCTGTCGCTTAACGTTGTATACATAGTTGTAAACCATTGGCAGTGTAATACAGACAGAAAAAACAGATACTGCCGAGAATACAATAGCGGAATAAGCAACGAACCGATAGGCCTTAATTCGGCTGTCAAAATCCATGATTGCTTATTTTTCGATGTTCTTTGATCAAGAAGCTGCAACAGTTAGGACGAGAGATAACAGCTGCAGTTATTGGCTGAAGCTGTTATGTTCTAAAGGTGTTTTCACTTCTATTGGTGTCTAGAAGGCACCCGATTGAAGTGAGATATTTTGTAAAGAATGAATCAAAATTTTATCGTTCAAGCGTTTTTATAAGTGAAGAAGTTTTTTTTGCAACGATTATTATTATTATTATTATTACTATTTTTTTTTTTTGGAATTAACGCCCTCTTAAAGGAACTAACAAGTTTATTTGCCCCGTTTTTCCTGTCTCTTTCTTTGTCCCTCTGTTCCTCTGTGTCTCTTTGGACGATTGTTGTGCAACAAGGAACTGCCCCCCGAGGGTGGCCGTTATCCAAACCCATTTATGCAAATCGTTTTTGTGCATCAAAAAAAAAAAGAAGAAAGACGATTTGTTTGAAAAAATCCTGTGAAAGGATGGGATAGAAAAAAGAAGGAGTCAAAGAATGCAGGCAAAAAAAAGGAGTTTTTGATGGCAGTTATTCGGTAGCAGTGGACGATAGGGATTTAGAAAACGAAGAAAACGATAACAAAGGCATAAAAAAATTTGTTTTTTTTTTTTTTTTTCAAATTTTACTTATTTTTTTGTTGCAACTTTTTTTCATTTCTTCTTTGTTGTGAATTCCTTTTTTTTTTTTTTTTTTTTTTTTTTTTTTTT